CTCGGACACGATGACTTGTGACTTCGTGCTACCACAGATGGAAGTCTCCTTCCTGGCAAATCGACTATGGTGAGATTCGAACCCAGATCTCATTGTCAGAAGGACAATGTTCTAACCACTTGGCTACATGACCTTAATATTATTATTTTTATTTTCTTTGATTTCTGGCGTTTACACATTTCTTTCCGGGTCCCGCCCAGAGACCTAAGGTTAGAAATGGCGTCATGACACTTTCGACTGACAAAAAAAAAAAAAAAAGAAAAAAATTACATAGGTAAAGCCCTTCGTAAAGTGTCGGCTGTACTTGTGAGAACATTTTTTGTATTTCTTTGAGGCATGGACTTCCAGGAATCCCTTCAATTAGTCTACTGGAAGCTTTTCCAACCAGTCCTAGGGCTCCAACTACAACAGGGATTGTTGATGTTCCCATATGCCACATTTTCGAGATTTCTATTTCAAGGTCCTTGTATTTTGACAACTTTTTGAATATCTTCAAAGATACATTGCAGTCAGCTGGGACTGCCATATCAATAAGGAGTCACCGTTTTTGCTTGTGGTCTTTAATAACAATATCTGGGCGGTTGGCCTTGATTGTTCTGTCAGTGTGTATTGTTTAGTCCCATAGAATTGTAACAGGTCCTATCTCCGTAACCGGGTCTGAGTGGTGTTCATACCAGTTTATTTCAGTTTCCTTCCCGCAGAAGTTCAGATTTTCCAGTGCAGATATTGGCCCACTCTGTCATGTCGGGTTTTATATTCAGTGGGTGCCAACATCGTGCAACCTGATACAAGATGATCAATCGTTTCTGGATATTTATCACAGAATCTGCATTTTGGGCTGACACAATATTTTAGTATATGTGCTTGATAATTCCTAGTTAGCAAGCATTGGTCCTGCGCAGCAAGGATAAAACCTTCAGTTTCCGCTTTCAACCCTGCACTACGTAGCCACTGATGGGTACGGGTTTTGTCTACGTCAGCTTGTTTGGTACGGGCAGAGTATTGGCCATGAAGCGGTTTATCTTGCCATCGCTTCTGTATCTTGTCGGTTGCATTCGTCTTTGCTGTCTTTTTTTAGGTATTTTGCAGTTTCAGCCGGTGTATTGTGCTGTAGTGGCATCTCTACACCCATTTGAAACTCCCTTTTGAATTTGTTGGCTTCTTTCATTACGGAGTAAAGACGCTTACTGCTTTCATGTTCCTTGACGCATACCATCATCCAGTCTTCTGTAGTTTCCAAATATCTTTGGAGGCCAATTGTTGTAGTTCTGTAGGACAGTTCTAGTTGAACTAATCCTCTGCCTCCTTCGGACCTGGGCACATACAGACGATCAACATCAGCTTTGGGATGATGCATGCGATAGCAAGTGAGATGCTTTCTCTTTTTGGCGTCCATTCGCTTAATTTCAGCTATGGTCCAGTTAAGGACATTAAAGCTGTATTGCACCAAGGGGACATCCAATGTGTTTATGGCTGATATTCTGTTTTTTGAGTTTAGCTCAGTATTTAGTACCAGACGTACACGCCTGTAGTACTCTTTTCTTATTTTTTCATTCATTTGGGGGTGTTGTATGCCATCCCCTTCGCTAATTCCTAGGTACTTATAAGCTTCACCATGCTCCAGTTCCCTAATCTTTGTGACAAAATCTAAATCTATTAAGTGTGTTTCTGTAATTCTACCTTTCTTGAATGTTACTTTTGCACATTTATCTAATCCGAAGTCCATACCTATGTCGTCACTGAAATATTTTACAATATTGAGGAGGCCTTTCAACTCATTGTCGTCTTTGGCAAAGAGTTTGAGATCATCCATGTAGAGTAGGTGATTGAATATTTTCTTATTTATTTTGTAACCGTAGCTACTGTTGTTCAGTTTATGTGTAAGAGGGGTTAAGGATAAACAAAACAGAAGGGGTGACAGGGAGTCTCCTTGAAAGATTCCACGTCGGATATTCAGACGGTTGGATATGGCAGTTCCCCCGGTGTGACTAAGGTATAGTTTGGTGTTCCACATTCCCATGCTGTGCTTAAGGAAATTTAATACCACAGGGGAGACTTTGTACATTTCAAAAGTCTTAAGGATCCAAGAATGTGGAACACTATCAAAGGCTTTACGATAATCAATCTACGCTGCACTAAGATTTCTATATATTATTATTATTAGTAGTAGTAGTAGTATTTCCTTTGATTTCTAGCGTGTACACATTTCTTTCTGGGTCCCGCCCAGAGACCTAAGGTTAGAAATGGCATCTTGAGACTTTTCACTGAAAAAAAAAATAAATAGATAAAGTCTTCCGTAAAGTGTCGGCTGTACTTGTGAAAACATTTTTTTGTATTTCTTTGAGGCATGGACTTCCAGGAATCCCTTCAATTAGTCTACTGGAAGCTTTTCCAACCAGTCCTAGGTCTCCAACTACATCAGGGATTGTTGATGTTCCCATATGCCACATTTTCGAGATTTCTATTTCAAGGTCCTTGTATTTTGACAGCTTTTTGAATATCTTCAAAGATACATTGCAGTCAGCAGGGACTGCCATATCAATAAGGAGGCACTTTTTTTGTTTGTGGTCTTTAATAACAATATCTGGGCTGTTGGCTTTGATTGTTCTGCCTGTGTGTATTGTATAGTCCCATAGAATTGTAACAGATCCTATCTCCGTAACCGGGTCTGGGTGGTGTCCATACAATTTTCGTTCAGTTTCCTTCACGTAGAAGTTGCAAATTTCCCAGTGCAGATATTGGCCCACTCTGTCATGCCGGATTTTATACTCAGAGGGTGGCAATATCGTGCAACCTGATACAAGATTATTATTATTATTATTATTATTATTATTAATCAGATCAATAACTGTTATTGCTTGAGATTTAATAATATGCCAATAAATTATCAAACTTCATTATATATATATATATATATATATATATATATATATATATATATATATATATATATATATATATATACGTGGATCTGTGCGTTACTTTGCAGTTAATTAGGTACAAAATGTAACCTTTACATGAACTGTAATTAATTTGCTATGTTTCAGCTGTCAGAGAAATATCGAAAGAATTCTTAGCGCCTGGTACAGGTCGTGGCTTTTCTCGCGTAATTTGTCAATATTCTAATGGCGTAAAACGAACGTCCGACATTTTATGAACATCAAGTGGGAACGTAACGTGTTTTTTTTTCTTTCTCGTAACTCCTTTATGCTTGACTTTGAAGTCGACCACCAAAAACAAAGATATTAAATTAACTCTAGACTCATTGTTTTTTAATTCCGGTAATGTCTGCGATGATTAACATTATTTTTCTTTTCTTTCTTTTCATAATTCTTTCAAGCTTCCGTTTTTCAAACATTCATTGAAAGTATTTTATTTCCAATCATGCTAATTTGCAGTCTGACTAGATTAGCGTTCCGAACGTATAGCTTTCTTTTCACTGTTATTTGATGAAATATTAGACGCATGTGTTTATAATATGTACGCAAGTTTAGACAGGAGAAATTAACAAAAAGAAAATGGATTTATTTCTAGCAAAATAAGATCTTTGGAAATGGAAACCTTGCCTTGGGGCTGTGATTTACGACACGCGCCAAAAATTAAGAAATATAGAATAAAACTAATTAAAAAAAAGAAAATTTCAAAACACGATAAAAAAAAAAGAAAATATAAAAATTCCGAGATTATCAAATACAATAAGGTTAGCTTTGAATAAAAATTCTAGGTACTGGAAAGTTCTCAGTCTAAGAAAAAGTTTTCAATTTTTTTTTCTCTTATATTTAGGTTATTTATCAGTAATAAGATGAGCCCAAATGCGACACTAAAATCAAGCACGTGCGGAATTTTAAATATCTGGGAAATGTTTTGACAGAGGACTGTAAGTGCGCCGCTGAGATCCGAAGCCGTATTGGGATGGCTAAGGGCGCATTTCAAAAGCTCGTCAGGGTATTGCGAGACAGGAGGATTTCTTTGGTAACAAAGAAAAGAGTACTGAGCTGCTACGTGACATCTCTCCTCCTTTAGAACAGCGAATGTTGGACGGTCTCCTCAAAGATGAAGAAGAGACTCTAGGCAACAGAGGTATGTTTCTACAGGAGGATGCTAAGGATAGTATGGACCGTTCGTGTGAGCAACGATGGGGTTATGGAGAGGAGGCAAACAAGAGGAGGAAGCTTATACTTAACATCAGGAAGAGGTAGATGAGTTTTCTGGGAAACGTAATGAGAAAGGAGAGCCTGGAGAATCTGATACTCACATGTCGAATAAAGGGAAAGAGATACAAGAGAAAGCAACGCATGACATACCTGGCGGGCTTAAGCAAGTGGATGACAGAACGTGGTCCGGGGGAGGAGGCCGAGGGACGAAATTTACTGAGAGATATATAAGGCATAGAGAAAGTGGCGAGCCATGATCGCCTACGTCCTGAAGGGATACAGCAAATAAAAAAAAAATATCAGGTTTAAGAAAATGATTATGGACGAGAATTTTTACAACATTCTTCGAATCATATTTCTCTCATAATGTCGGCTTTTTGACTTTTTTTATTTACATTTTTATTTATTTTCTCGTTATAACTTCAGACGATGTCTACATGAAGCGTTCGATGTCTATATCTGCACACTGTTCACAAAGGACAGATATTTAAATGAATGTAAATCCTCGAATTAGCGGACTAGGAGAGGGATACCCGAAATATGGAAAGTCTGCCAAATGTCGTCTCGGAGATGATAATTCTATTATTCTCTTTCTTAATGCAAAACATTTTCAATTCGATATAAACTACCCGGTTGCGCGGTTGGTTTAAAGTTTAGTGGCTCGGAAGGCGAATCGGTGAACTGGGATAGTCACATTCACCTTTGCGCAAATACCCTTGGAAAAGAATGAATCAATCTCTTCTTAAATAGTAGGGCAGCCCCGGGTTTACGGCATTTGTTGGCAATCGGTCTTGAAGAAGGATAATTCTAAATTCAAAACTCGATATAGCCATGACATAGCACTTGCTTACGGCCATATCAGGTTGAAACATCGATTCTCGTACGATCACCAAAGTTAAGCAACGACGAGCAGGAGAAGCACCAAGATGGGTGATGGCTTGAGAATGCCAGATGCGGTATAATTAGATTTAAGGGTAGTGTAATGGATATCAACTCAGAATTCCTTGGTGGCATGTCTTTGTTCAACTAGACTTGGCGGAGTCCATCCTTCCCCAGAATACTAACAAAATACATCGACACACTCATAGGTTATCACTAGTCGAGATTATAGTAATGCTGATAGCGGAATATCTACTATGCCATGTTTTAATTGATTAATTTCCTTTTTGTACGGCTTATGGACCTTTTGCAGGTTATTTAAAACCGGTTATATATTTTAGATTGTAAGAATTTTTTTACTGGTACGAGTCATACTAATTTACCCATAGCTAGGAGTAAGGTGGATTCATATATTTCCCAAAAGTATTTGCGCGGAAGTGAATATATTGAACCCGACTGGAATTCGAACAGATTACCGAAACCTGTTGTAGGATCTGGCCATGATTCTGCTACAAGAAAAATTATAGTGTGAAATGATATTATTTATAATCATAACGAATATTTACTTATTATTGATATTATTTATAATCAACGAATATTTACTTGGATTTCAAATGTGCATTTTAAACATTTTTGTGTGGAGCAGACACATAAATCTTATCAAAACCTCTTATGTAATTCCATCTTCCTATGAATAGAATTTATTTTAAGCCTAATAAAAATTGAAAACCTCTATTATTTCTCTCAGAATTCGGTCAGTCCAAAGTTTAACACAAACCAATCTCTGTCATGAAATAGTTAATTTCCGAATCTGTTATAACGGGGTCCATCAAATTGTGTGATTATTGTTATTTAATCTCTCAGTTTAAACTTTCTACTGTTCTGAGTTATTCATTTGTCTCTTCCCGCTCATCCTTGATACTATGTACACTATTTACATTGTTCGCACTATTGTCCCTATCTTTGTCGCCATATTTATTACAACGTTTCGGCCGTTGTACGTTCCAGCCTTCTTTAGGTGGCTAGAATGTCGAACTAAACCCTTTATTTCGCTCACTGGGGCAGACTGTTCTAGTTCCATGTGCCATATTTAATGGATGTTAGTTATAAGTTATCTCCTGTTAATTTCCCTCTGAAATTCTTCACTATTCTCTATTTGAACTCACACTATTTGGCTCCTGTCATTGGATCAAACTAACGCCTTTATCCACTGTGTCATGTGTCTTTGAGGACATCTGTGTATGAATTTCTGGGTATTATGAACTTAATATCTTCAGCAACCATTTTACCCAGTGCTCATATTGCAATTGGTTTGAATCATTAGTTAAAATTAAAAAAAATAAAAAATAAAAAATAAAAATTTATAATAACTTGTTTAACAAATAGCCCAATCTTCAGATTCATAGTAGGAATAATTAACTACAAGCATGCATACAACATAACACCCTTCATAATCCATAGCCCAAATAAGTAGTTTAAATACCTTACATAATAGATAACCCTTTATAAGTCGTCAAAAAACAAACGTTACGAAAGTTTTTTTTTTTTTTATATGCACAATTCCCTCTCATAATAAAATAAAATAAAATAAAATAAATAAATCTCCATAGATAAACAAACTAGACGAAGGTTAATACATCTTCCGTTTCATTTTAGACAACCGACCTTTTCCCCGACTTGACATCTTGAAAGTATCTCTATACCGCTACTTATTATTAACACCCTACACTCGCCTACCCAATTTAAACAATTCGCCCTTGCTGTTACCTTGGAGATTTTGATTTCAATTTTTAAAATAAGTAAATTTCAGATATACGTTATGCCAACAAAAATTTCGCTTGAAGATGGAACGGAGCCCATTTTAATTTAAACTCAATTTAATTTAAAGGATTATATTGAAGTTTTCGGCTCTTGTTTTGAAACATGAGACCTCTTATGTAGCGATTTGGAATCATATTTTTAAATAAATAATTATATTTATGCTCTACCTTTGTATCGAACACTATTTTTTAAAAATAATAACTAAAATACTAAGGGACTTTGGATTATTTTCCTAATCGGTTCCTTCCTATTTTCTATATATTTTCACATAATATATATATATATATATATATATATATATATATATATATATATATATATATATTAAGCGTTTCACCCCAAGCAAGACGGGAAGCCATTAGGACGCAAGGGGTTACAGAAAATTTGGAGCAAGATCAGATAGGAGTGATAGAAGAAAGGATGAGGAGAAGGGTAGTGGATAGATCAAGGCAACTGGAGATGTCGATTGACATTTCATAGCTGGAGATTATAGCTCTCAGGGAAACTGGAATAGGGAAGGGACTTCCACAGGTGAGAAGTGCGAGACATGAAGCTATTGGAGTAGAAGAGACGGCTACATTTAGGAGTTTCGACAGTGAAGGGGTGAGAGTGGGATGCCAGCCTCGTAGGGCGCTTGAACTTATGAAGTCTGGGAACCAGCGAATCCAGCTCCTCGGAGCAATTGCCATGAAAGTATTTGTAAAACAGACAGAGAGAGGCGACGGCGCGTCTGAGAAAGTGACTGTAGACGAGATGCCAGATCAGGGCCAATTATATTGCCTATCCGCCTCTGGAGCCTATCAAGAACCCCGAGGTAAACAGAAGGGGCTCCAGACCATATATGGCAGCAATACTCCATGCAAGGGCGAATGGTTGATGTGTAGATCTGGAGGATCAATTCCGAGGAGAAAAATTTCCGGCGCGGCACAGGGAGCCAACTTTTCTTGCGGTGGACGAAGCACTTTACCCAATGTATTTGTTCCATCTCAGGTCAGCAGTCAACGTGAGACCGAGCAGCCGCAGAGAGGTGCTCTCGAGAAGTTGAGCGTCAGACATTCTAATGGAAGACAGGGAAAGGTCTCTGTAGTGATTAATAGAGAGCAGTTTTGTTTTTGAAGCATTAAAGATGACCAGCCAATTCCTGCCTTAGTTCACAACCGATTGGAGGTCCTTTTCGAGTCGCAAGGCCAGGTTATTTTTGTCAGTAACACTAGATTTGTTTTTGAGGTAGGAATAAATTGTGGTGTCATCCGCGTAGATACCAACTTGAGAATTTATGGTGTCAGGAAGGTCATTTAGGTAGATAAGGAATAGAGTGGGGCCTAGGATGGAGCCTTGAGGAACAACTGCGTTTGTGGGATAAGAACTGGAGGAGAATCCGTTGAGAACGACCTTCAATTCACAGTTTGACAGGAATAATTGTATTAGGTCAAACAATCGACCCGTAATGCCATAACCCTGGAGCTTGCGAAGAAGGCCGGCATGCCAAACCCTATCAAATGCTTTGGAGATGTCTAGGGCTACGGCACGAGCTTCCCCGTTATTTTGAAGAGCTCGGTAGACAGTTTCAGTGATGGCCGTAAGCACATCAGCATCAGGCAAAGCGGAAGCCATATTGCTTGTCTGAGAGCAGATCATGGGATGTGAGGTGGTTAACCATCTCGGTATTGATTAGGGCTTCGAAGACTTTGCCGAAGAGGGGTAAGAGACTGATAGGACGGTAGTTATAATGGTCAGATGGGTCGCCAGAGTTCTTGAAGACAGGAACAATCGAAGAGGACTTCCAGCAGTCAGGAAAACAAGATTCATTGAGGCAGTAGTTGTATAGTTTAGAAAGGGCGGGCGCCGCTTCAGGCGCGCATTTCTTCAAGACAATGGCTGGTATCCCATCACCACCACCACTAGCCGTGTTGGGGTCTAAATTGGAGATAACGCCCAATACCAATAACGGGGTTGTGTGTAACCCACTCAATAGGGCTTCAGTTCTAAGAGGGAAGTCAGGTATGGGTACACCGGAAGAGTCGAGCGTCGAGTTGAATAAAAATTTCTGAGCAAAGCATTCAGCCTTGTCGACAGAGGAGGTCAGGACTTCGAACAGATTGTACAATCGAGGTATAGAGGGTTTACAATTGTTCAATACGCTCTTGCAGAGACGCCAATAATCTTTGGAGCCAAATTTGCGAGATGCAATACGCTCCTGCATCCGAGCAGCAAATAGTGACTTAGCATCGTTGAGGACACGTTTACACTCATTACGGGCGGAGGCAAAGAGACGTCTATTGCAGTCAGACATGTCGCTACGGAATAGGTGAAAGAAGTGGTTCCTATGGGCGATGGCGGCTGAGCAAGCAGCGGAGAACCAGGAGGATGAGCGCGACTTGACCCTATATTTCCTTGAGGGGATGAAAGCGTCGATTCCAGCTTTAACCCAGGATGAGAACTCAGAAGCACATTCTTGGACGGGGAGCGTAAAGACACCATCCCAGGGGACATCGCGGAGGAAATCACGGAACGCGTTCTAGTCAGCTCGTTGATAGTAGAACGAAGTTCTAGTGGTAGGAGGTTCTTTGCAGGGGTTGGAGTTGAAGGAGATGTTAACAGATACTACCGCATGATCAGAGTTACCAAGAGGGCAGAGTTGCGTGATCTGACGATCGCAAAAGCGTGAAACCCAGGGTCACAAACTCACATCAATCTAACCAAATATGTTAGCTCTATCTCTGATATTGAGCGCTTTCTAATAAGTACAGTGCATATAATATATAAATAATTATATATATATATATATATATATATATATATATATATATATATATATATATATATATATATATATATATACACACTTTTCACATATATATATATATATATATGTTTTGAGACATTTTTTAATGTTTATACGTTCTTTTATACATACAAATATTTAAGTAAATGCTCTGTTTATAATTAACAGTATTAACAACATTTACCGGTCTGAATTTCTGAGAAACTTTCATATAAAATATGCGTCTTCCGACAGGAATCGAATCTGTATCCTATATGGAAACCTCATATAGCCTAACGTGCTTTTACCGAGTAAGTCACAGAGGAGCGTTTCGGTTAGCAAGGTCGTTTTTACTGTTTAAAAACTACAATTCTCCATGATTTTCACTCATACATTCATATCTGCTCGATGCGTATCCAAATATAAACAAATGACGTCACACATTATGACATAAAAAAATGTTTCAAAATAATTGTCGGACTTCATTTTAACTT